CCTGTGCCCCCCCCCCCATTACCGTGCCATTCCTCCCTATCCCTGTAACCCCCATATACCCCTGTAATTCCCCTACAACCCTGCCATCCCCCTGTACCCCTTCATCCCGCAGATAGGGTAGTCGGGTGTCATTCCGGGTGATGCAGCATCCTTCTCACCTCCATCGGAATAGGTCTCGGTGCCGTATCCATCCTGCAGCCCGTTGGTCCAGGTGCCCTCGTACTTGGCCCCGGTGCCCGTACACTCCCGCACCCCGTAGCGCCCCTTGAAGCCGTTGGTCCATTCTCCCCGGTACAGCCACTTGCCCTTGCTCTCCAGGCCGATGCCATGGCGTTTGCCCTGCGCCCAGGTGCCCTGGTAGGTGTTCCCGCTGGGCCAGGTGTAGACCCCGAGCACCTCGAAGCCGTGTGACCAGGAGCCGCTGTACTCGCCCTGCCCCTTGGGACCCGTACAGATGCCGTGCCCGTGAGCCTTGCCATCCTGCCAGCCTCCGCAGTACGACCCCCCGTCATCGAAATTAAATCTGCCCCCACTGGACATGCATGTAACTGGCCGGGGCCACTGCACCGAGATCAGGGGCCCCTCCGATGCTGCATGCTCAGATCCCCGGCGGGCGCCCCAGCAGACCGGGGGGGAGGGGGGGTGAGCGGAGGAGGAGCGGGAGGAGCAATGCAGCTACCCGTCCGGGAGAGACCGCCCCCTCCGCCACAGCCAATGGGAGAGCCGAGGGTGCCACCGGACCGGAGATGTCCCCGTCTTATGGAAGGTGCCCCTCTGCTTTGAGAAATGCCCCTCTCCTATGGAAGATGCCCCACTGCTGTGGAAGATACTCATCTGCTATGGAAGATGCCCCTGTCCTATGGATGACACCTCTCTGCTATGGGAGATGCCCCTTTGCTATGGAAGATACCCCTCTCCTATGGAAGATGCCCCTCTGCTATGGAAGATGCCCCTCTGCTATGGAAGATGCCCCTGTCCTATGGAATGTACCCTTGTGTCATGAAAGATGCCCCTGTCCTTTGGGTAATACTCCTGTGCTATGGAAGATGCACCTGTCCTATGGAAGATACCCCTCTGCTATGGAAAATGCACCTATCCTATGGAAGGTACCCTTGTGTCATGAAAGATACCCTTGTCCTATGGGTGATACCCCTCTGCTATGGAAGATGCACCTGTTCTATGGAAGGTACCCTTGTGTCATAAAAGATGCCCCTGTCTTATGGAGGATACACCTCTGCTATGGAAGATGCACCAATCTTATGGATTATACCCCTCTGCCATGGAAGATGCCCCTGTCCTATGGAAGGTAGCCTTCTGTTATGGAAGATGCCCTTCTGTTATGGAAGATGCCCCTGTCCTATGGCTGATACCCCTCTGCTATGGTAGATGCCCCTCTGTTAAGGAAGATGCCCCCCTCCTATAGATGATACTCCTCTGCTATGCCCCTCTGTGAGGAAAGATGCCCTTTTGCTTCAGAAGATACTCATCTGCTATGGTAGAAGGCCCCTTTCTAAGGAAGATTCCCCTAATAAAGAATGATACCCCTCTCCTCTAGAAGATGTCCCCTTTCTATGGAAGATGCCCCTATCAAGGAATGATACCTCTCTGCTATGGAAATGCCCCTTTCCTATGATCACCCCTATAGATGATGCTCTTGTCCTTCTCCAATAGATACCATACACCTCGGCTGTGCCTGATACCCCTCTCTTATCTATGATGCCCCTCTCGTCCTGGAGAAGCGCCTCTGGAATGGAAGATACCCTTTGGCTCTGCCTGATGCCCCTCTTCTTAATTATGTCTCCTATAATGCCCACTCTCCTATGAATGATGTCCCCTCTCATATAGAAGAGGCTCCCCAGTAATGGGAAATGCCCTCCAGTGATGTCCCTCTTATGGGTGCTGTCCCACTCCCCAGTGATACCCCTTCTCCTATGTTGGTGTCCTCTCTACTATGGGTAATGCCCCCAGTGGTGCCTTCTCTCCTAAGGTTAATGCCCCCTCTCCTATGGGTGTTGTCCCTAGTGATGCCTCCTCTGCTATAGGTGATGCCCCCAATAATGCATCCTTTCCTATGGGTGATGGCTTAAGTGAGGCCTTCTTTCCTATAAGTGATGCCCCCTCTCTATGGGTGATGCCCCAGTGATGTCTCCCCTGTTATTGGTGATGCCCCCTTTGCTTTGGGTGATACCCCCAGTGATGCCCCCTCTGATTTGGGTGATGCCCCCAGTTATGCCTCCTCTCTTATTGGTGATGCCCCCTTTACTATAGGTGATGCCCCCATTGATTCCCCTCTCTTATGGTTAATGACCCCTTTGCTATGAGTGATGTCCCCCCTCTTATAGGTGATGCCTCTTTTGCTATAAGTGATCCCCCATTGTTCCCTCACTCTTTTGGGTGATGCCCCCAGGGATGATTCCTTTCCTTTGGATGATGCCTCCTCTCTTTTGGGTGATGCCTCCAGTGATGCCCCTCTCTTTTGGGTGAGGCCTCCTTTCCTCTGGGTGATGCCCCTCTCTTTTGGGTGTTGCCCCCAGTGATGCCTTCTTTCCTTTGGGGTGAGACCCCCAGTGATGTCCCTCTCCTTTGGGTGATGCCCCCAGTGATATGCCTTCTTTCCTTTGGGGTGAGACCCCCAGTGATGTCCCTCTCCTTTGGGTGATGCCCCCAGTGATGCTTCCTCTCGTTTGGGTGATGCCGCCAGTGATATGCCTCCTTTCCTTTGGGTGATGCCCCCAGTGATATGCCTCCTTTCCTTTGGGTGATGCCCCCTTTTTTCCTGCACAGGATCTATTAGCCCAGAGGTTACACACAGCGCAGCACCGAGCGGAGCTGAGGAGGAGGACAGGCAGCACCAAGGTAGGGTGACACTGTGTGTATACCGGGTGTCGGTGTCATACATGTGAAATGTGTGTCTGTATGTGATACATTGTAACAGTGTACAGAATCAGATGCTGTGTGCATTCTGTGTGATACTCTCTTATGTTACAATATTGCTATTTATAGTGTGTTTGTGATACATTGCTACAACATGTGAGTAGTGTACATGTGTGATATCACAAAGTGTACATGCGTGGTGTGTGTCTGTGTGCTGTTCATACTATTCATACTGTTTGAAGAGAGAGAGAAAAGATAACAGAGTGTCTTACACTTTGTGTGTTACATTGTATAGGTGAGGGTTTTGTGTACCCCTGGGGTTCCTCTGGAGGTTGCTAGGGGTTCCTTAAGTGACAGATGAATCCCCCACCTACAATGAGCACCAATGTAAGGGGGCAATTTCCCATTGGAGGGGTCACTTCTACACTGACCACCACGAGGGGCACTTTTACAGCTAAGGGTACACTACAATTTCCATGCTTTATGTTCTTTTCTGAACATTATTATTTGTTTCATTGAATTATTATTGTGTATAAAACAAAGAACGTGTTGTGCGTGATCCGCTCCGGGTTTTAAATGCTCTGATGATGCCATTTTCTTTATTCTTCTGTTTAAATGTTCTACAACTTACTGGTCGTGTTAATGTGCTATGACCTGAAGATGCAATCGTTTGTTTAGCAGCGGATCTTCTGAGGTAAAGAGGTTGAGAAAGGATGTATAGAAGCTGTGTGTACCTTACACTGTATATAGAAAGCGTGTGTCTTGCACTCTATATAGACTGTGTGTACCTTACACCTTACAGAGACTGCGTGTGTCCAGAGACTGCGAGAGTCCAGAGACTGCGTGTGTCCAGTGACTGCGTGTGTCCAGAGACTGCGTGTGTCCAGAGACTGCGTGTGTCCAGAGACTGCGTGTGTCCAGAGACTGCGTGTGTCCAGAGACTGCGTGTGTCCAGAGACTGTGTGTACCTTACACTGTATATAGACTGTGTGTGTCCTGCACTGTACAGACTGCGTGTCTTGTGTTGTGAATAAGTTTGGACATGGTTTCACACACGCATGTATTAACACGTGTTGCCTTGATGTGCGTTCACAAGCAATTTGGACATAAAAGTGACAGTTCGCCGCGCTGTGTGATTGGTTTCATTTCATGATCACTTTCACCATAATAGATCGTCATTGATGATGAATTGGTATTTTTGACACTTGAAAAGAACATCTTCCTATTGGAAGCCGTGATTGCCTATTGATCCCTATTTTATCTCCGGAGGTGTAGGGATCGATGAGTGACCGGCATGAGGAGAGATCACAAGCAATGGGAGTCTTCATCATCGGATCAGCAAGCTGGAAAATCTTGGTGTCCAGCTATCCAGCCCCACGGTTCCGTATTAAAGCCGAGATGGCTCCCTATGGACAGCGGTGCCCACTTCTGTCCTGCCGCTGCCTTCCTCATGAATTTGGATTAGATCTGATTGGATTCCCCACCGTTATTGATTATCCCTTCAGGATGAAATCAATATGTTATCTTTTATCAATACTTTATGGTCGGAATTAGGACTCCTTTCTCTGAGGGAGCCTGAGAGGTTAGGAATATGTACAAGTCAGCGATGACCCTCACAGACTCAATGTCACCCCCCTATACCATCCTGTTACCTTCCAGTTGTAGCGAGAGACCCTCAGTCCTGTTCCATCACCTGCCACCGTTGGGCCGCGTGTCCTCCCAAAGATTCGGATTCAGGTAGTGGCCTAAAGGCGCTCCCGTCTCGCAGTGCTCCCACCCCAATACCGACGCTCTCACCCTCTGCATGGAAGCCGTGGCAAGAGCGACACCTACAGGCTATAAAACAAACTCAGAAACATTATAACATAGAACATTCAAATGTATGAAAAGAAAAACAAAAGCATAAAAAAAAATAGTTTTATTTATTACAAATATTCATCTCTGAGAAAAATATAAAGTAGAGACCCGCGATCAAGTGCTGCATTCCGGGGGCTGCTGATGACTGGTCTTGTCGCTGCCCCTTTTTGTGATGTCACCGCACAAAAAAAAATGGTCATTTTTATTGTATGTTTATAGGAGGCTATTTTTTAAATCCATAATGTCAAAATGAACATGTAACGTGGGGTGTTTCCAATGCGTCATTGTGTTTAATGCATGGTAGTCTGTCCAATAAGAAAGCCCGCACATGCAGACGCCTACTGCAGTTTGTAGAACTAGGTGGGCCAGGAGCAGAGGGGGGCATGTCCTTTCTCTGAGTCATCCAGCTGTATTCACAGCATAGCAGTAAAGCGGTATTAAACCTGCACTTGCCATTTGTTTGATGGAAAGGGGAAATATGAAAATATGTATATACAATATTTTATTTTTTTAACTAAACATGTTCTCTTTACCTTGCCTGCTGTAAGAACTGGTGGACCTGGAGGCAATGAGGTCACCTACTGTCTGCAATGAAATGGGAGATGGAAGCAGACTGGTAAGGGGTCCAGAAGCAGATCACATGTCCGGATATGAACATTCACTGACATAGCTTATCCAATCAGGTTTACTATTGTCTTAAATGATATATATCCGAGAGATCCTCAATTGTCACTGCAGGCTGAGAGCGGAGCAGTGACTATCATACACTTCCCACCCAGGCCAACCCCAATCTTTGTGTATGGACTATCTCTACAGGGAGCATGCTATGTGCCAGGAAATGGGCAGCTCACCCAGGTATAAGTATTCATGAATGGATTGGCTTCATTTAGACATGCAAGGAATGTAAATACACTGAGTGGCCG